ACTTCATTAAATACCCCTTATACTATCTCCATGCAAGCGCAACCTGCTGATATGGGGAAGAAGACTTGTGGATAATATACCTAAAAAACCTGTGGTATTTCTTCTGGAGTCTGCCTCTGGCCAGGATGCTCAACAGCTGTGAGCCAGTAAGTCTCCATCAGACACCTGCCCAAACCTTTTGTGGGCATTAGCACCTCCCGATGCACCAGCTCCAGAGAGTCAGATTTGTGAGTGAAGGAGAGCAAGCAACCAAAGAGTGTACTCATCCTATGACTTGATTAAAAGAGGAAAAAAAAAGTCAATTAATCTATTCCAGCAACGTTTACTTGTAAAATGATCCTGAGTACCCACAGGAATTTTGGTAGCTTCAGCTGGCAGAATGAGTGTAGATGCCCTTCCTTAGCCTCTGTTTTCTGTTCCTTACTTAGCCCCTGTTCTGTCTGTTCTCCCCCTCTATATCTGAAAGGCATCAAGGGACACTCTTAAAAACTAGATTAAAAGGCAGGTAATGGGAGACCTGTTCCATTTTCTGCACCTGGAGGCAGCCTGGAGTGCTGCTCTCATCTCCATGGGGCTGGCCACGGTGGGAAACCCAGACCGAGCAGCCGCTCCCAAGGAGTGCCTGATGTGCACAAAAATGGGGGCTGCCAAGGCACTTTGTTCTTGTCATTTCCGCATCCAGAGCCCCAAACAGATGGCCGCAGTCCAAGCTGAGTGCTCTGCAGTCTCTTGAAGTCTATAAAACCGTGTTTCCCTCCCATTAAGTGGGAAGGCACTTTCATGTTGCGTTGCTGTAAAAGTATCAGAAAGGCTAATGTTTTCTCTGCCCTCCTTGTTTAATATTCTGACCTCACTGAGGCAGTATTTGAAAAGGATAAGGAAAAAAAAAGTCCAAAAGCCCCCAGGCCCTGGGGTTTAGCTAAGCAGGATGGATGTCTTATTTGTTCCAATGTCTCAAACACTGACCCTGCATCCCAAGGGAAGAAAGCGCTGCCCCTTTCTTCACTTCGCTAGTACCTGCAAATTGATGCTTGTCAATAACTACAGAGACATGGGCATGGGGAGGGAATGAGGAGAACAGTGCCGTCTCATCGCAAGTGGGTTCCCTCTGCAAGCTCTGGGCTAAGCTCTTCTTCATTCAACATCTGGATGGTTGATTGACTTCTAGGAAGTTCCATCTGGTCTGCAAAAGCGGCAGATCCTCATGGCCAAACTGCTGGCTCAGCAGACCCACACCAGTTCCCAAGTGCCTTCCTGCTCATCTTTTTCATTTTGCATCCCTTCTGCTGTCCTGGAAAAGAGAAGCCTGGGCTTGTAGTCACCACACTGAGCTGGGAGGCGAGCGTCTGCCACAGGGTCACTGCCTGACTACAGGCAAGTCATCTCGTTTCTATGTCATTCAGTTTTCCAACTATAAAAGAGATAATCATAGTCCTGGGCTTTACAGGGGTGAACTGAGGAGAACTTGCCTGCTCGTTAAGCAAGGTGTTTAGAGGGTAACTTCAAAGTAAAGCTAATAAACACAAAAATACAAGTCACCCTAGCAAAGCTCTGCCTGTGCATTTATAGTGGCTTGAGAAAACCATTTATATTCGTTATATTTTTCTGACACAGTTCCTCACTTTCCTGCTGCAGACCTTCATGCAAAACAGGTTTTGTGTTGCTACCTGCAGCAGTCAGCAAGGGAGAAAAGGTTAAATGGCTCTTCCAACTTGGGATAAGGGTGGAAAGAGTCACTTTTGGAGCTACATCTTTAGGTAATAATTGCCTGGCTTTGATTTTGTGTAGTTCCTACCAAAACTTACAACGTATGAACAAAAACAATGGCAGAGTTCCCCTGAGAAGGAACCTGCTGGCACTGGTCTTTCTTCCCGGAATGGATGGACATGAGTGGAATCTCCACAAGCCCAAGAGAAGAGACAGATCTTGGATGTGCCAATGTACTAGTGGTACCACAGGCTGTGGAGGAGGCCCCGTGCAGGAGGCTTCCAGCTAAGACACACCCTTTAATGCCGAAGAAATCTACATGATGACCTGGGACAGTGCTGGGCTGGGTGTGGAGGTCAAGGAGTTTCACATGGTGGATGCGCAGTGCAGAGACAGGCAGAGATACTCCCATCAGCTCAGAAGGATCTGGCCTGGGAACGGGGTGGCCTGCGGTGACCTTGGTAGGATGCTGTGCCTGGGTTCATTTGCCCTGCTCGCCGCCTTGCTCAGAGCGAGCTCGGGTTTTTCGGCCCTGCCTGGTACTCATGTAGTGCCTGAGTTAGATCCAAAGCAGGAAGGTTAATTCCTGCCTCAATGGCCTCAGCTCAGCCCTCGTCCTTTTGGCTTCAGAGGAACTGCTCACCTCCACACAGGGCTGCTAGCACACACGCTTGTGCTACCAGGGCGCTTGGGTTGGTGCCAGGCAGGCAAAGCTCCAGCTGCCGGGAGGGCAGTGCCAGGGAGGCAGGAGGAGAAGGCAGGGTAGCAGGGGGTCAAAGCTGTCGTTGGTGCACTCACTTAAAAGCAGAAGATGTCTGAGCAGAATTTGAAATTAGGAATACAGTACATCAGGGGAACGGATTTGGAGAGATCTGGCTCTTGGCTTTGCAAGCGCTGCGTTCAGCCTGCCGCAGCTTAAAGTAGTCCAAATGTATGAGGTATTTTATACATCTTGCATGACTCCGCGTGTTTACGTTCAAGTCCAGGGTCAGGATCCCAAGTCTTGAGGCAGCATCCAGCTTTGCACTGCTGACAAAGGAAGCGCTTGCTCTTGACCAACAAGAACATCAGATAAAAATCTTTTTCATCTTTCTCCACTCTTCCTCTCCTTTTTTCTTTTTCTTTTTTTTTTAAGACCTAACGGGTCTCTTTAATCATGAAACTGCTACTATATAATCCCTTTTTACATTTTAATTTCCCCCCCTCCTTGGGATAATTTACAGCACAGTGTGGAATCTGAGACAGTTCAAGCTGTGCCAAAGGGCCTGGCAACAGGAAGAAATGCCGAACCACTGCGATTTGGAACCATAATGCAAGTTATAAAATTTAATTTTAGAAATGCAGCTACTGGGAACAGCTTTGAAATGCACATTTTCCTTTTAGTGCACAAAATGGTCCTGTGTCTTGATTGAGCTGTTAGGGTGGCTTGAAAGAGTGTTCTGTAGAGTAAGGGGCATACAGAGCTCTTCAGAGATCTTTTGCTGCTTATTCACTGATACTCAAAATTGGAAGCTGGATGTTTATGAATGTTTATGTATTAAATACTACAGGGATGCGTAAAATAAGGAACGGTGGATTATTTTCAGGAGTTGTGCCAGTCTGTTTCACTGCTGTAACTGTGAGTTGAAAGAGAACTCAACATAGGAACGGGACTGGCCTCCTCCTTGTGGGGACAATGAACATGAAAAGAAAGCTGCAGATGGCAACACTTCACAACAAAAAAAAAGTGAAAATCAGGAGCAGATAGACAGCAAACTAGGGTGTTGAGCAGAAGACAAGGGTAATGGCACCTTCTTTAAGGGAACAAGTAGAATAAAAGATGTTTGACCTCTGGACTAGAGCTTTGACATGGATCTTGTGCCAGAGACAGCCTGCTTTGGGGCTTTCTGCTGATGTTTTTTTTTCTGTGATCTTTAAGAAGAAAAAGCCCTAGTAGGGGATGGGTAAAGGAAAATTTTGATTCCAGCTGGTTGGGAATGTGGCTGAACCATCCCATTTCAGACATTTCACCAACCACATATGCCAGGGAAGTTTCTATTTCAGCCCCAAATCATGGTGTCAGTAGCCTTCCAGAATAAAATACCCCACTTTTGAAGGATATCTCATAACACTGGAAACCAATGGACACAGAAGTGGTTTGCAAAGTTGTGACAACAGGTTAGCTCTTAAGAGGGTGGAAGAAGGATTTAAAATTTGTGCTTTTGTCATGCCTACCAGAGTTCAAGTGCTCCGGCAGATGAGATGTCCCTGTTGTAGGCTCTGTGTGCTGTCTTTGTGGTTACAGGTTGACACAGAAAGGCTCCCAGTGCAGAGAGCAGCCACAGGCAACAGTTAGAAATGCATTACCTTAGTCCTTGCGTACCATTTGCTGCTGCCAGCTAAAGGCTTCTTTTGAAACCAGTCCTGCCCATGATGAGATATGTCTTTGCCCTTTCAACTGAATCTGGATGTGCCCCAATGCTGTGCTGGTGCTGGGCCTCTCCAGCACCTTCCCTGTTCCCTCCCAGCCCTATGGGGCTGCGGCACCAGTGCTTCATGGGGACAAGGGCTCCATGTGCTCCAAGGGCTGCCCTGGGGAGTGCTGGACTTTTTAACTCCTACATGGCTATGACCAAATCTGCCATGCACTGTCTAATGCTCTAATGTCAGCATCTACTGTTGCATAGTGGGATGTCTGGTGGGACTTCATTTTTCTGAAGCTTCCAGTGTCAGTAAGAGAGACTTCACTACTTCAATTTCAATTCTGCCAGCTTTTGGTGTTTCTTTGCTATGTCTGTCTGTAAATGCATGGCAAAAGGTTGAAAAACTGGGATCTGTTTGGGTTTGTTATGTTATAGCCCCATAGTATTTGTCTAATTATGGTACCTTATGAAATCTGGGATTGAATTTTTGAGGAGTTATTCCAGTGCAGATTTAGCACAGGGACCACTCAGTGTTTTCTCCTTTTACGCATCCCTGAAGACAGTCTTCCTTTTAGAAATGCCTTCTCTCCCAGTGCAAGGTGTTAAGAAGGCACTGCAATTTTCAGTGGCTCTGGTTCTTCAGACTAGGTCACATCTCAGTCTGCGTCACAATGTGGTTACAATGCATGACTCGCTTATGTCTTCTGTTCTTGCAGAGAGATGGTTTCAGTTTAATTTCAGGGGGCTGCTAACTGGTTAGTTACTTTGCCAGTAACTAAAAAAAAAATTAAAAAAAAAAAGTAAAGAAAAAAAATTAAAAAAGAAAATAAGTCAACAAACCTCATTTATCAGTGAGCTTTTCTGATCTTTTTCCCCCCCCTCCCACAATAGGACATCGTCAGAAAATAGATGAGCAGACAAAGCCTGGGAGCTTGTCCTTTTCAGAGCGCCTGAGTGAACTGGAGCAGTTGCGTCGTACAGCCATGAGGGTCAGCCCACACCACCCAGCCCCCACACCCAACCCACGAGCCTCCTTGAACCACACCACTGCTTTTAACCCTCAGCCTCAGAGTCAGATTCAGGGTAAGTACCTGAAATCCTCCCCCTGCTCGCCCACCTTCACCCCCCTAGCCTGCAGAGCATGGGGGCTTGTAGGTGCTGCCCCTCTATCCTTCCATCTCTTCTGGACTCTCCTTGGCCAACTTTAATGAGTGAGGGCCTTTAACAAGTGAAGGGAGTGGCTTCCTATCGTATGTCTGTATTTCTAGTGGCCTGACAGATCTGAAGGAGTTCGTACTGCCTCGTCTTCCTGGTGTCAGTACAGCACACGGTGATTGTTAACCTCACCTATGCTAGAGCTGTAACATCTTGAAAGCTGTTGTTTTCTTGCAAAGAAGCATCATGCCAGGCCTTTTTCTATGTGTAGGTGTATTTCCTGATGGATATTTTTCAATTACATTATGCGCCTGAATGAGAGAGCAGTACTGTCAATGCCTTGCTTTGGCCTTTCCCAGGAAGGCAGCAGCAAAGAAAGCTTTGCAATGTGCTTTGTCCCTTGAAGATGACCTCTTAGTACTAAGACATTAATGTGGGGAGGCAAGTCTGAGTGTATTTCTGTGACTGGTGGTCATCAAATGGGTTCTATTTGAATGAAAACCTGCAAAAGGGTGACTCAGGAGTCTGATTTACTCTGAGGCTCAGGCTCAGATGATGCCACTGAAACCATGTCATCTAACTAGAAATCATATCTGCCACTGCTGGAGCTCAGTCTGTCCCTGTTGAAACCAACTCTGTTCCTCAGATTAGCTGGAACTCGGGAGGCAGTGAATCAGATCACTAAACTGAGCTTATACGTGTTCTGCAAAATCTGTCTCAAAGTGCAGCTTCATAGTGAGATGCACCTAAGGGAGGGTGTTGAGACAATATTAGTTCTAGTGAGCACTGTTCCTCTGTTCTTCTAGCCAGAATGAAATGGTCTTAGCTGAGGTTCTCTGTTGGGGTTTTGGGGAGAAATAGCTACCGAGAATTCGAGTAAGTTCTTTTCTGGCATTTATTTTTAAAACCAGGGTACACAGCGTTGCGTGTAGAAAGGATTCTTGCTTACCTAAGGCAAACACTTGTTACATCTTTTTGTTCCGTGGACTAGGAGGACCTTTAGCTCAGTGAGATCTACTGCAAATCTGCTTTTGACTTTGCTGTGAGCAGAAGCAGGTATTTTTTGAGAAACACAGGAAATAAATCAACACATTGCCACATGCTATACTGTAGAAAGAGGAGGGCAAAAAGACAGCTGGAAGGACCAGGCAGCTGCTTCCCTCCTTGGAGCAATGCCAGGTCAGCTCAGGTGAAGGATCCAGTCCTGCATATCTCCCAGACCCCCTCACTTAGTTTTCTGATTGGAGAGCAAACCACGTTGGGTTTCTCCTGTGCACAACTCCGTTCCTTTAAAAGAAAACACACATATTATTATGGCTACTCAGCAGCCAGTGGCTACGTGGGTGGAGGTATCAGTCACAGACTTGCATTCTTCAGCTTCTTGGGAACACTATATGCTTAGCAGAGTATCAGGTTTAACATCAAGTTTCCCTCTTCCCTGGTTCCCCTGAAAGTCCCTTGCTTGTACGACCTCAGAGCAATAGACTTCTTGTGCTTGGCCAGGGATTCAGCTGCTCTCTCCAGAAACAGTTTTAGTACGTTGCTCTGCTTTGCTCTTTGCAAGCAGGACTTTAATGTGTTTCACTTGTGGACATAGCTCACAAAATGGTAACAATGGAGCTGCTAATGATACCCTCCTCTTCACCTATCGGGCTGCTCTCTCCCAGTACCCCTGAGCAACTGGTTCAGGCTTGCAGTTACTATCAGTAAAATAAGCCCCAAACCGAAGCCTCTCTCACTGGGGATTGTCTGTGCTGCAGACGCCTTTTAATTTTTAGGACTTGCCTTTTCAGGGTCATGCTATCATGTTGGGGAAAAGAGCTAGAGTGAGAAGGGGCTCCAGCACCATTATTTTTTTCCTCGGTGTTCAAAGCATGATTAGTTTTCAGGCTGATCTGTGTGGTCTCTAGGGAGTTTGGATATTAATTATTTTTTTCTATTATTTAATAAACAGCACTGTATGTCAGAACACAGGCCTCCCAAACCAAAACACTTCTGACCTTCTCCATAGTATTGCTATACTGATCTGCACATCTTTGCATCCTGAAAGACTTCTGTTGAAACTCCTTCACTGAGGAGAGCACAGAGTGCTTTTTATATAGGCATAATATAAGTCATAAAACCCCATACACTGCTGATTTCCAAGTAGCAGCATTAAACTTTGCTTTAACTCATAGCAGTATGAATCACAGGCTACTCCTCTATTCATCCAAGTCCAATTATCTTTTTTAAAAAAACAAAAATAACTCAAAATAGACATCTCAGACTAGTTCTCGGATTTGAAGGGGCAGCTTGCCATGCCACTAAACCACTGTTTATTTGTTGAGGTTTTCATCTATAAAAGGATTGAGGTTAATTTTAACTTCCTATTTTACCGAGTCTTGAATTTGAGCATAAAGCTGCTTGTGTCATGGGTACAAGTCAAAGCAAGTTAAGAGACCATAAATTGCTATAATCGAGTTTTATGCTTCTTTCATATCACAAGGAGGGAGAAAGTACACCTGTTCATTCAAGAGATCTAACCATAGCCAATTCACAGACCAAAGGGGAACAGAAGGGGAGAAAAAGCTTCCACCACATCACACATGGTTTAAGTTGAAAGATTACTTTGTGCCTGTACCAAGCGTGTAATGTCAAAGGATTTGACCTACGTGCACAGACTAAGGATATTCAGTTAAACCTCTAAACCTGGCCAACACTTCAGCCTGAGCTCACCGCTTGCTTTGTACAGAGGGGAAAAGACAATAGACAAAGCCATGTGAGCTGTGCTGAGCTGTTGTTGAGGAAAGTTTAGGTAAGACCCTCTGTAAGTATTTAAGTTCATATCTATCTGTCTGTCTATCTATCTATCTATCTATCTATCTATCATGGTTGAGTTGCTTCTAACACCAGCCTGCATCAGATACTAAATGCATAATTACTTATTTTAAAGTGGTTAATGTTAACCAGAGTAGGTAGATCTGTAATTCAAGATTTTTACATAAAAATGAATTTACAAGTATCATTTTTTTCAGGGTAAATAGAAATATTTTCAATGTATGTCATCAGGCCAAGAGGGTATGCTTTTGGAGGTATTAATGTTGAGTTAATAAGTTGCTTAAATAAACTTCTAACTAGTGGGTTTAGCAATATCATCAAAAAATGTGTGCAGTTAAATAACTTCCTTTTTTTCCCCCCTAAACTAGCCCAAATAGTGTTTTCAACAGGTGATTTATTAATAACCCATAGTTTAAAAAATAAAATAAAATAAAGCTATTTCTCCTGTCTAGGGAAAACAGTCTGTAATCACTTCAAGCTACATGCTTCTGGTTCTTTTTAAGCTTTTATAGCCTTAAAAGTATCTAAGTTTGCTCACTCCTTTTTTTTTTTTTTTTTTAAATTTTGTAACTTTATATGTTAAGTTGCAGCTGGGACCACACTTTTATGACCAAGTCTAAAATCCCTGGCAACAAGAGGCTGTAATAAAATTGCTGACAGATCTTTAAGTGAAGAAGCAGAATTAGCACCAGTAACAAAGCAAGAGAGATCATTTAAAGATCAGCTCTTTGAATTAGCACGAAACATAACGACAGAGAGATTATTTTGTTACAGGCTAGCCTTTTGTCTTCCTCCAGGTGCAATATGCTTTGTTTAAGAGACATTTCAAGGTCTTTGCTATCGTAATCTCATTCCACCAAAAACAGTCCAAGTTTATCAGGGTTCCCATGAACCGGCAAAGCACAAAAGTGGAGTCAAGGGCGATGTTTAAACCCAGGGAATTAAAATGGCTTTGTTCCTACTACGCCTGTATCCTGCCCCGATTTTTAATATTTCCACTTTTAAATAAGCTTAATAGGCTGTAGGTTAATAAAATGAGAAGCAGCATTTCAGAGTGGTCTTCAGTGGGGCTGTCATTCTGCTTCCATGTTTTGCTGCTCCACAATGCCATTTTCAGGTGCTTTTGAGAATCCAGACTGACATGCTAGTAGCTCTCTGCCAAAACAGATAAACAGGCTCTCAAGATTAGGGGCACACCAACTCTTTCCATTGTGCAACACACGAAATGCCAATATTTTTGTGTTCTCTTTGGACACGTCCGCGTCCCCCTGTCTTTCCTTAACCTGGGGCACTTGCAGAGCAACTACATGCTGCTCGAACAGCGTATCATCCTGTTTCCACTTGATTAGCCACCTGACCTCTCCATCCCAAAATAAAACTCCCCAGCATGTCAAGCGAGTGCTGCCTGAGCTTGGCACCTTTCCTATCGGCGCCGCTCCTGCCTCCCCTGGCCAGCAGAGTGTGAGTCACGCCAGGGGACTGACGGGCAGTGCAGGCAACGCCAACACAGGAGCTGGCAGTGGGTACGTCATTGCCAGTCAGCATGGCTGGGGCTGCCAAGCTCCCCACCTCTGGCCCTTCTCCTGGATGTACAGGAGCCCTCCTCCCCAGCCCTGAGGGAGAGTTTCCCCACCATGAGCCACATCACAAATGTTTTGCCAGCGGCTCCATCCCCTTTGAAGGAGCTCCCCTCCCTCAGCCATCTTCTGAGCTGGCCAGCCAAGGTGGCAGATGTGTGCCGGGAGCCTGCTCCGGGGTGGGGTGGGGGGGAAAGATGCTCTTTCTCCTTTCCCCTCTTTTTCTATGCCAGTAGCGACTAAAGAGCTCCTGTGTGGGGAAAAGGAAGGAGGTGAAGCCACCCTGGTGGCGTGGACCCAGAGCTTGAGTGTCACAGTCACTGGGAGGTTGCAGGAAGGTTGTTGAAATAGTAATGTTTTCCAAAAATATTTGGCAAACCAGAGCTATTTAGCTGCAAAGGGTTCCAACTGGCTCTATCAAAAAGGAAATTTTATAGAGATGTCTTTTTACTGAAAAGTACAATATGTTTGCTTGATTCACAGCTATTGCTCAGCACATATTATTTTTATATAATGCCATGAGTAACCTCCACA